ATCAGAGGTGTCTGAGTTTTGCAGTCCTTGTAATTGAAAGACTAGTGGGATCACTGTCAAACCAACCAAAGTACAACCAGGCAAGGTATGAAGGTAAACATGGCAACTTTGATTAAAGAAAAATGTTTTTTATAGAGATATTGCTATATTAAGGTATGCAAAATGCTTTATTTTGAAATGACCAGCTGATGTACTTACACATACATGTATACTAATGCAATGTCTACCCAGATCAAGACAGAGAACACTTCTATTATCTTATGCCTCAGCCTAATTAGCAACATGTTTACTAGGGCAAAAATATTAATTTTACAGAGAAAATATGGGATGCCACCTTAACCAAGCCACCAAAGATAACATCATCAAAATGAGACAAATTGGTATCATACATTTCCTGATATAATAAATTGCAAAGAGCAAAGATGGCAACAAATTCTTTGACACTTTTCCCATAAGGAGGTGTGGCTTATGTCCTCTGCGCTTGAATCAAGGCAGGCTCTGTGACTGCGCTAACAAACAGAATAAAGAAGTGCTGCTGAGAATTTCTGACAGTTCTCCCTTATTTGTCCTGAAACATTTGCTTTTGAAATCCAATCAGTCATCATGCTACGAATATCTCATGTCATATGGAAAGCTTGCCTACAGATGCTCTGATCTAGTCTTAGCTAATTCTCAAACAACCAGCATTGACTTCCTACCATAGGAGTGGGCTCGCTTGGACATCTAGCCCAGTTAAGGCTTCAGAAGACAACCACCTCAGTTGCAACTACAGGAGAGAAGCCCAAAGAAAACCACCCAGTGGAGCTCCAACAGTCTAAAGCTATGAGAGATAATAATGAATTGTTAAGTTGCTAGGTTTTGAGATGGTTTTTATGGAGCAAAAGATAACTGAAACAGCAACTAACATTGTACAACTATGAGCTCCATGAGACTTTGTTATCTTCCTTGCTGTATCCCAGCTTCTAGAATGGTGCCCGGCACACAGTAAATATTTGTGGTGGATGGATGGATGGATGGATGGATGGATGGATGGATGGATGGATGGATGGATGGATGAATGGATGACAGAAAGGCAATATTATCAATTTGAGGAAATTATTTGAAAAGCCACTTCTTTTAAAAACTATTAAGCAAATTTAAATGTTTGCCTTCTTATTGCTTAATAAATTCCTCAAGCAAGCAAAGAAAGTTGTTAAAAATCATCTTATATCTACATTCAAAAGTGGGTCACATATTTGACCTACCTAAAAGTGGGTCTTTTAAAAAATAGAATGTGGCAACCTAAATATTTAAAGACTTTGTTAAAGATATCTTTTGAAGCTTTAGAATCTCTTAAATCTAGTCTTTTTAAAATCCTTTATCTTAACCCTTGCTATTCTTCCAGAAGTACCAGGACCAGCAACATTTGCTTTGGTGATGTAGTATTTCTGGGATGCTTGTTAAGGCAAAAAATATTTTCTTTCCTCCCTCCCACTCTTTTTGTTAAGGCAAAAAATATTTTCTTTCCTCCCTCCCTCTCTTTTTCTCTGTCTCTGTCTCTCTCTCCCCTTTCCATCTACAAGACAATTGTCTCTGTCTCTATCTCTGTCTCTGTCTCTCTCTCCCCTTCTTTCCATCTATAAGACAAATTTTAAGTAGCTTTCCAATTTCCAAGCTCCTTATCTGAACCAATACTATCAGTTGTGGACCGGCACCAGGGGCAATTAGACAGATAGAGAAATTATTGAATAATGAATGGATAATGGCCTAAGGAG